TTTCATTTATTTTAATTATATTAATTGTTTATTTAATTCCACAAATTAATTTTTTATAACATAAAAATACAAAAATCAGAAACTATAAAAAATAAAAAATATGTTCATTTATTTTTTAATCAATATTTTGTAAATAAAATTCTAATAACTAATTAGTTTAATTTTAGGTTTAATTTTAATATTTTTTTTAATAAACTAAAAAAGGTAGAAATTAGGGTTTTTATACTTTTATTCTTTTTTCCTTTCGCACCATATTTAATTATTAATTATTTTTGTAAATAAATATACCATTTAATTAATTAGGGTTAAATTAGGTTATAACTTAAACATTTTTTATAAATTAAAAACAATTAGAATTAGGGTTTCCTATAACAATTAATTTTCTCATTAAATTTCATAAATACAAAAAACATAAAAAATAAGTCCTTTCCTTTCTTTAGTTTAATTAATTTAATAATTTCAATTTAATTTCTTCAAAGGGTCCAACGCCCTCGCACCTTCGAATATAATTTTCTCTTCGCGCGTTTATTTTATTTTTCTTTGTGAAATTTATGTACTTGCCCCAAAGCCTTGTAATAGATTAATTAGATATTTACTTTCTGCATTTTATTTATTTAAATCGGGTCTTGGTTTAATTTGGCGATGTAGACCCGCGCCTTTGTAATAGCGTAGGACTTTTAAATTCCGCACCTTTTAACTGTTAATAACCACATGAAAGAATGAATGCCAAAAATAAAAACAAAGCATGGAACACCAATGCATGACAAGATAAACAATAACTGAATACAACACACAATTCACACACCACTCCTAGGGTACGCCTCACTATTGCCTTGCCCTCGAAACGTGGTCGTCGAGTAGAGGATGTTTTGGTAAGTCCTCATGTCCATGAACATGGCATGAGGGTAGCTTCTAAGGTGTCTTCCTATTGCTCTGGTGACCACAAAGTCCCGAACCCTCGAATTGACCCGAACACCTCCAACGGTGGTGCTACCTACCTCTCAATGGTGGGATGGCACTACCTTAAGGACATTTACACAGACTAATTCCTTAGGGTAGGTATATGACTCGTAGATACTTGCTCTAATTCAAAACAAATCAAAAACTTCTTTTCACACCGACACTTTGCAAAAAGCTTTCAAAAGCAACTTTTCAAACACTCTTGAGGACTGATACAAGAGTCGAACTGAAATTTTAAACGAAACTTTTTTCAAACCCACTCACTTTGAAAAGCAAACAAACATTTTTGAAAACACAAATGAGCAAGTATCTAAGAGCCCATGGATAACCATGGATAGAAAGGGTGCTAACACCTTCCCTTTCTATAAATCTACCTCCCGAACCGAGAACTAATCTCAATAAGGAATTTTTCTGTGCTTTTGTCCTTTCCCTTTGGAGAAAATAAAAGACGGTGGCGACTCTTGCTTACCGCGACATTTCGCGAACCAGCCTTAAACAGTCAGTTCCAGATCCACCAATCGCAGTAGTCTATTGTCGAGATTTTTGTTACTCTAAGGGATGGTGGCCTTGTCATTATGGAACATAGTTTGTTGTCGATATTTTTGTTATTCCAATGGATGGTAGCCTTGTCATTATGTAAGGTAGTCTATCATCGAGATTTTCGTTACTATAATAGATTGTAGCCTTTTCATTATAGAAGGTAGTCTATTGTCAGGATTTTTGTTACTCCAATGGATGGTAGCCATGTCATTATGGAAGGTAGTCTATTATCGAGATTTTTGTTACTACAATGGATTTATCCTTGTCGTTATGGAAGGTAGTTTGTTGTTGACATCTTTGTTACTCCAATGGATGGTATCCTAGTCATTATGGAAGGTAGTCTGTTGTCGAGATTTTAGTTAGTCTAATGGATGGTAGCCTTGTTATTATGGAAGGTAGTCTGTTGCCGAGATTTTTTATACTCTAATGGATTATAGCCTTGTCAATATGGAAGGAAGTCTGTTGTCGAGATTTTTTATACTCCAATGGATGGTAGCCTTGTCATTATGGAAGGTAGTATGTTATCGATATTTTTGTTACTACAATGGATGTTAGTCTTGTCGTTATGGAAGGTAGTATGTTGTTGATATCTTTGTTACTCCAATAGATGCTAGCCTTTTCATTATGGAAGCTAGTCTTTTGTCGTGATTTTTGTTACTCTAAGGGATTGTAGCCTTGTCGTTATTGAAGGTAGTCTATTGACGATATCTTTGTTACTCCAATGGATGGTAGCCTAGTATATATGGAAGGTAGTTTGTTGTCGAGATTTTTGTTTCTCTAAGGGACGGTAGCCTTGTCATTATGGAAGGTAGTGTGTTGTCGATATTTTTGTTATTCCAATGGATGGTAGCCTTGTAATTATGGAAGGTAGTTTGTTGTCGAGATTTTTGTTACTCCAATGGATGGTAGCCTTGTCATTATTGAAGGTAGTCTATTGTCGAGATTTTTGTTACTACCATTGATGGTAGTCTTGTCATTATGGAAGGTAGTTTGTTGTCGAGATTTTTGTTACTACAATGGATTCTAGCCTTATCGTTATTGAAGATAGTCTGTTGTCGATATCTTTATTACTCCAATGGATGATAGCCTAGTCATTATGGAAGGTAGTCTGTTGTCGAGATTTTAGTTACTCCAATGGATGGTAGCCTTGTCATTATGGAAGGTAGTCTGTTGTCGAGATTTTGTATACTATAATGGATTGTAGCCTTATCATTATGGAAGGTAGTCTCTTGTGGATATTTGGGTTACTCCAATGATGGTACCCTTGTCATTATGGAAGATAGTCTATTGTTGTGATTTTTGTTACTCAAATGGATGGTAGACTTGTCATTATGCAAGGTAGTGTGTTGTCGTGATTTTTGTTACTCTAAGGGATGTTAGCCTTGTCATTATGGAAAGATAGTCTATTGTCGATATTTTTGTATCTAAAATAGATTGTAGCCTTGTCATTATGGAAGGTAGTCTGTTGTCGAGATTTTTGTTACTCTAATGGATGGTAGCCTAGTCATTATGGAATGTAGTCTGTTTTCAAGATTTTTGTTACTCCATTGGATGGTAGCCTTTTTATTATGGAGTGTAGTGTGTTGTCGATATTTTTGTTATTCCAATGGATGGTAGCCTTGTCATTATGGAAGGTAGTTTGTTATTGTGATTTTTGTTACTCCAGTGGATGGTAGCCTTGTCATTATGGAAGGTAGTATGTTGCCGATATCTTTGTTACTCCAATGAATGGTAGCTTTGTCATTATGGAAGGTAGTCTATTGTCGAGATTTTTCTTACTCTAAGGGATGGTGGCCTAGTCATTATGGAACATAGTTTGTTGTCGAGACTTTTGTTGTTCCAATGGATGGTAGCCTTGTCATTATGTAAGGTAGTCTATCATCGAGATTTTCGTTACTATAATAGATTGTAGCCTTGTCATTATGGAAGGTAGTCTATTGTCAGGATTTTTATTACTCCAATGGATGGTAGCCATGTCATTATGGAAGGTAGTCTATTATCGAGATTTTTGTTACTACAATGGATTTATCCTTGTCGTTATGGAAGGTAGTCTGTTGTTGACATCTTTGTTACTCCAATGGATGGTAGCCTAGTCATTATGGAAGGTAGTCTGTTGTCGAGATTTTAGTTACTCCAATGGATGGTAGCCTTGTCATTATGGAAGGTAGTCTGTTGCCGAGATTTTTTATACTCTAATGGATTATAGCCTTGTCATTATGGAAGGTAGTCTGTTGTCGAGATTTTTTATACTCCAATGGATGGTAGCCTTGTCATTATGGGGTGTAGTGTGTTGTCGATATCTTTGTTACTCCAATGGATGGTAGCCTTGTCATTATGGAAGGTAGTTTGTTATTGTGATTTTTGTTACTCCAGTGGATGGTAGCCTTGTCATTATGGAAGGTAGTATGTTGCCGATATCTTTGTTACTCCAATGAATGGTAGCTTTGTCATTATGGAAGGTAGTCTATTGTCGAGATTTTTCTTACTCTAAGGGATGGTGGCCTTGTCATTATGGAACATAGTTTGTTGTCGAGATTTTTGTTGTTCAAATGGATGGTAGCCTTGTCATTATGTAAGGTAGTCTATCATCGAGATTTTCGTTACTATAATAGATTGTAGCCTTGTCATT